TATTTCTATGCTATAGTGCGAAAATGGATTATAACCACGCCTATTTCCCATATAACACCATTTTAAATTCCATCTGATTTTTTCATTTTCCACTATGCAAATCAAGCAAAATAAATAAAGAAGTCTTAAATTATTATACCATTTGACTTTGCAAGAGTATAAAATGTTCGGTTACATCCGAACTTAGCCCTTCCTTACTTGTTTATTTTAAAGTTCGTTTGAATGAATCCGTTTTGGGCTTTGTCAACGCGAATTCAATTCGTCTAGTAATACCGATAATTTTATATGTATAATAACCAAGATGTGTCAGATGAACAAAAGCATAACACTCTTGCGCAATATGTTGCCTGAGTATAAAAATAATATTTCAAAATTTTATATAGTAGCTATGAAGAGTTCATAATTATGTAAGTAGCGAATGCCAGCATAAGTGGTTCGTGTGGTGCATGTTGAAACTGGTTTTCTTGGTGTTAGCGGGGCGCACAGAAGGGAATACACATTTGTACATACCATATATTTGTATTTGGCAGTCATTGCACTGGTATTTTGAAGTGAACAGGTCAAGTTTTTCAATTGTTTAAAGGGTTAAGCTTGTTGCTGTTGCACGCCGGTTGTAATACGAACATACATACATATGTATGTATTCGTTTTGTTAAGTTTAAGTTAAATTAGCCGGGAAGTTATAATAGTCTAATGAGAGAGGAAATTAAGTGCATTCAGTTAGTGCTGGCTGCATAATAAACAACTTGTTTGTCAAATATTGGGCAGACAATATCACACACTTGAGATAGGAAAGCAATGAATCAAACATGCTATTTATATTATATAATATATACAAATATGTACCGAAATAGGCAATTATTACGGCACTCTAGCTTTGTTTAACCCATAGTTAATTACGCAAAGAAATAATTCCAAAAAAGATAATTCCGGAAGACATGAGTGTAAGCATGTAAACAAACATATGCTGAATATTATATTAACTCTGTTTTTACTAAGTCTTTCTTACTGTACGAATTAGCATAACATTTAAACCGCATTATATACATCTTCCAAACTTCATGTTCTACTTTTCATACAAACACCGCTATGTTAATTATTACTGCTAAAATAAATGCCCCTTCTTTTGTTTTGGGGTTTTGACAAAATTACATGACTCTTTTCTAAGTTGCTGACATGTGCATTCATGTGCATCCATATACGGTTTACAAAATTAAATTTACTGGGCAATAATTGTCTGCTATTTGAGCTTATAATTTTCTGAAAAATGTCGCCAATTATCCCCATGGTATTTCAGCAACCGTTTACCCTTCGTTTTTGCTAACACTTGAAACTCCATACATATGTATGTGCAGCTGCGGTCAACAATATATGACATTTTTGCTCGAGAAAACATATTTCAATTCAGTACTTGCACTTCTCTACTAAAGTGTAGAAACCAATACACAAGACATTGGTAGCGTTTAACAGAAATTTACACATATGTTTCTTGGACTACTTTCCACAAGACCTTAACTATTGAAGACTTACCACTTACAACCTTAAATTTTCTATGAGCTCTTGAGTGTGCCCCCGTCATGACCTCAACTCCATTGACTCGAAACTACTCTTCCTCATATTTGTTGTTGCATAGCTAGTCACATTCCTTTTATACCACAGAATAAGAGAATTTGGTCGAATGTATTCACTTGTACTTAATTTTATAATGAGAAATACTCACTTCTACTGTAACATTTTTTTTTTAAATCTCCTCCAAATCTTTAAAGCAACAATCTTTTTATAAACAGCAAGCAGCTTTAGAAATTGAAAATAAATTTAATTAACGACGTTAAAATTATCGGCACAGAGAATCGATACCATATATTTTTTACTAAATTATTCAAACTATTCTATGACGTAACCATAGATTTAGTTATATATGTTTCATTGCTTTTATTTTGTTCATAGCTGTATATAAATGAAGTAAAAACATAATCGGTATAAAATAAAATGACAGTAAAACACATATCACTTACGAAGCATGAGAGGAAGAAGTACATGTGAAGTACACCTTTGCAAAGTCTGAGAATTTATTTCAAGGTAAAACTTGCACCCAAAAAACCAAATAACAAACAGCTAAAAGCAAATGTTTGTTGACCGATAAGTTATGCTCAAAATAAAAAAAAAGAAATCCACATAAAGTTAAATCTATGCAACAGACAAGCCACAGGTTACACAAAGGTTTTCTCGGAGAAAGTTAAAATGTCGGAATTCATGTGTTTTAGAATGTTAGGCATTTCAGTATTCTATACAAGCTTTTGGGTAGCCTAGAAAGAATTTATCAGAATGTTGCTGTGCAACATAGCCGTTAGGTTAAACCGTTGACTGCATCTCAAATCCTGAAAAAGTTACTTTCTCCTAATACTTACAAAATTATTATAGTAATACTTTCAATGCAATCCGAACGACTTAAATTGGATTTTTTTTGTAGAATGCAAAAGTTTGTTCTTTTTTCTGCAAATTTTTTTTTTATTGTAGCCGCTACGGCTATTCTATCACATAAGTACAGTTTTTTAAACCATTAAGCTCTGTAGATATGTTTGACTTATTCGCGTTGCTATTCCGGGCTCGAGTTCTTCCTCGCATTGCTTTCTGCGTGCACTGTTTTTATTACGCTTTTTATACGCCTACTTGGACTCCGCGGCTAGCTGCACACGTCTAGAGTGGTAATTTTTTTTCGGCACTGTAGAACGCATATACATACATATGAGTCTATTTCCTTCAAAGTCTTTGATGTTGACTGCATTACGGAACTGCAACTGCAGACAATAAAACTTCGGAACTTCAGTTATGTGCAGGTGATGTTTTAAGTTATATCATGACTCAAATTTGGCACAGAGAGACATTGTTGAATAGAACATATGTGGTTTCAAAAGATTTGAACGGCGTGTGCGGCTGCACCCTGTAGGTTTAATGTAGATTTTCTAACCAAGCGTGATGAGAACATTTTATTTCGTTAATATAAGTTAATAGTAATAACCGCGCTCTCTCAAATATATAAATTTACTACCGTTTGGTTAGTGTTACTTTAATCATTTGTCAAAGGTGAAATCAAAGACTGGTAACTTTTCATTTAACGGTTCTGATTTCATATTAGCAGACTAGCAATTGAACTTGTGCGTATTGGTTGAGTAGGTATCTCATTCTCATCGAAAACTAACACACCCATTGCTATAAGATATTTGCTTAAATCAAATGTGATTTGGTGTACAAAACTTATGAAATCGGATTACCAAATAATGATTTAATGTTATTTTGTTTGACTTTATTCCTGCGATTAGAGTTTCCACTGTCGGCAATTATTTCACTGTTTAAATTTTCCATTACTTGGTTTGACATGAAAAATCACCTAGTAATCACCAGATCCAATACACTTATTGTGAATACAATTTATCGAAAATTTGTGTATCTATTTCTCTTTGTAATAACGGAATAATTTATTAAAAATAACCTATTGTAACTTAAAACCATCTAGAGGAGACAAGAAATTACTTGAAGAAAAGTAAAGTAGATAAAGATGATTTACATAGATGAGAAATTCACCTCATATACACACATATCTATATATCCCTAAAAATGCCTGTAAGAAAATAAATTATCAAGCACTTCCTTTTATAAGTCTCCTTTGTCCCATAAGTAGTTAGATAACTTTAATGAATATGCCGGATATAATCAAAAATTTCGGTTAATAAGAACAACAAAAAAATTTTAAATATAAAAAAATTTTGTACACTTCCGCACGGACATACTTGCATGTATGGTATTTATGTGCATTAGAGTGTCCCAAAAAATTATGCAATTTTTTGTTTGTTGTTTAGAGTCAGGATAAATCTTCCGGTGTTCTAAATACTTGTAGTACATTGCTTTGCTAGTGTAGTAAATTGCTTTTACTCCTCTTCAACTGTAATGAAACCATATAATGTTAGTGTCATCTTGACTGCTCTTTCAACGATATCGTTGATTGCTCTCAGCACTGAAGCGTGATTCTTGGCATCTTGATACAAAGTCTGATATGACTATAAAGACTAACATATTCTTTGGTCAGAGAACTATTACAAATTGGCGTGTGAACAACGCTTTACTTTTGAGTGATACAAAGTCTTAGTTGTCTGTAAGGAATGAATGAAAATTATTAATTTATGAAAACAAATTGTTTATAATGTCACTGTTGATAGGGTTGACTTTGCGATATATTTAGACCGCCGTATCTCTTCCTCAATAATTCTTAGGCGTGCCCTTTCCTTTTTATCGGTCTTTTTTATGTCCACTCACCCGGTTGATCTGGTTCCCGTTTCGTTGCAAAAAGACTTACCTTTATTTGCTCCCATTAATTGAAACACATCGGCGTGGGCAGCATCAAACATGTTTGTCTAAGTTCCTGACAACCGCTGTTTAACTACGCCTCCAAATATAATAAATTCACAACTTTCTTTATACAATATGTAATAAATTGTGTAGTTATACGATACGGAGCTTTTCTCCAATATATAATGCATTCGCGAGATTTGCACTTTCATTTACAGTTAAATTCATTTGACCAAATGTTGTAGCACTGCTAAAACTTGTTTATTAGAAGGAAGTTTTGTTACCGTTATTTGATGCTTTGCATCTTAAAACTCCATTGACATGTTGACCGAATGAATACCATGTCGGATGTATGTACATATGTAGTAAGCAACTTAATTTCCAATTGTTTCAACATTAAACTATTGTAATTAAAAGGGTATGCGTCAAAAAAATAAACTTTTATTTTTTTAGGACACCCTAATGTACAAATATATATATATTTATGTACATATGTAATTTTGGGGTTTTTCTTAAACTTCTTATCTTATTTCCCATTTGGCCGGTAATCAAATTTAAATACAGGAAAAATAATAAGCATTATTTAATATTTGTTACATTTTCTTTCAAGTTACTTTACATACTAACTCATTTTAATTCCTTTATCTTATTCATAGTATTCCAACGCCTTTTCTTCTGCTCACGGAATAACCTACCACAACGATATGTATTAAAATAGAAGACGAAAAAACGGCATAAAGAAACCAGACAGTTGTAATAGTAATTATTATTATTCTACTCAACTCTACAGCAGTGATTTTAATTGAAAACGTGCCGGTAGCAGCTCAACAAGCGGTTACATCCACATTTCACCAAAATACTTTTCACCTACGACAGCGACTGGCTTTGCTCTACCCAGCGACAACATGACTGTAAAACTTACCAAATTTTTCAGTAGCACAGCCGTCATACCAACGATGACAACGGCATCGCCTTCCACTGAAACGGCTGCCACCAGCTACTATCATCAACAGCAACACATACAATTTATGCAACAAGAGACGCAACAGCAATCGTCGCTACCCTATAATCCGTATATTGCGGGTGGTATGGATAGCGACGACTTATATGATGATGACAACATGTCGTTATACTTGAGCTCCACCGCTGGCAGTGGTATTATGACGCAGCGCGGTCATTCATGCAACAATTCACAGCGTCCGTTGTTGGGTGAAAGGAAACCGCCAAAAATGTTGTTGAATGGCAATGCAGCGAAGACAAATAAGAAGTCGACTGGCTTTAATCAACCGCAACGTCACTTGCAGCAACAACAAAAACAACAGCAGCAGCATGAAGGGAAACCGCAATTGCTGCCGCAACAGAAATCGTATATCTCGCCGTACGTGCAGCAACAGAAACGTGATAGCGCCAAGGGTTTGCATGGCTTTAACGATTTCGATATTTTGTCACAGCAATATACAGAGCATTTACGTAGTAGTCCGCATATAGGCTACCCTTACGGCAGCCCTCCTTCACCCTCGACAAAGTCTAATGATTTCGTATTCGATCCGTTGCCCCAGCAAAACTCTTTATATGGGAATGACGTGGTGCACCAACAACAAAATGCGGGTCAGTATCGGATACAAAAAACAGGAAATGACATTAATGAGACGGATTACTCTTATTACGAGCGAAACGCTTACAATGTTAGCGGTAGTGGTAGCGGCAGCCCTGACGGTGGTAGTAATGGTCTTCCGGCCGCAGTGCATTATATGGGTAAATCGTCCCGCTTTGACGATGATTTTTGCACTCGCCGTAATGCCACGTTTTCTGAGCCGCAACCGGTGTTATTATCAGAAAAGGCTTGGACGCCTTCGGTGCCCGCAGTTACTGATGATATGAGCGGTCCTTTTATATTTGGTGGTGTACCTCCTGAACGTTTTAACCATCAACGACCACAGAACGGCGATAACACGTTACCAAAGCAGCAAAATCAGCTGGCTTACACCAGTTCACCGACCGCAGCCGAAAGCTCCTCGAACTGTGCGATAGATGTGTCAGACAAGCACCCACCGTATAATGACCAAGTTACTGTTGTAAGTGAATACTTTATGTATGTATATATGTATGAAAGCTTACTTTCATTTAAATATTAACATGTTCCAAAATTCGAACATTCCACAATGTTAGTATAAATTTTATACAGAGAGCGCTTTATTGTATGCCGGTGTGTAAAAATTTAATAACTTTAACATTGATTATCCCGTATGTTTTGTAAACTCAGTTCAATATAATTGCAACCGTTAGTGCCTTCACGTCGCCAGCGCCAAATAGTGATACAAATAAAAATACAGGTTAAAATAGGAAGCGAGTTGGAATTAGTAATGATAGCCTCATTGTCTGTCAGCATTAAGAAACAAAATTGCCTTATTTAAAGAGAAGAAAATATTTTAGAGAACCCTGAATCGGTAATACAATGACCAAAAAGTGAGTGTATTGGAAGGCGTTTGTGCCAGAAACATAACTGGGAAAAATTTGTGCAACTAAAACCGAAGCAGACTCTCATTTTTCAGACATCGTACTAAACTATTCAGTTTTACAACCGGAATTTTCTGGACGTTTGGTAACCTTGACTGGCCACCCCAATATTCTCCTAATTTATTCGTGTTGAACCTTCGGAGTATTGAAAAGGTCAATGGCAACTGCAAACATTACTAAACTGATCAAGGTGTTCGAAAACGTGGTAGAAGACACTATATTTTTCCGACCCGAACACGTAAGTCCTCTGTGATGATTTATACCATGTTACTCAGTTCCCGCTTTTCTAAAAGGAGAAGTTGTTTTCGGACTGTCCACTATCCACACTACCTCAAAGCAATTATGTGGAACGGTGGTGTTCCAAGACCTAAAGTTTTTCGTTTTCATTTATTGCTGTAAATATCTTCTGAATGATGAGAAGAATATTAGGCAGCGGTCCAACTCGTCCGCTTATGCGTTTTCTCCCAATTAATGTTCACTGAGTTGCCCACTGCAAGTGTAATGATTGCATCTTGCATAACCTTACACTGTGAGACTTGGTTGCAGCGAGTTGCCTTAATTTACGCTTGACTGTCCACAAGACAGTTAATGTTCTTGTAAGTACCAGTTATATGCCCTCGTGTCTGTACATACACGAAACAGCTTTCCTAATACCGTAATGTGGCTCAATGTCTTTGCCGTGGTTGTAAAATTTAATTTTAATTAAGTGCCAATAACGTTAATTGCACACACCTACATACTATAGATGAATATACACCTAAAGAATATATATTGAGGAGAAGAATTGCAACCACAAATTGAAAATAACAACAACACAAGGCAATTGTAGTCACTAGTGAGTCTGTCTGTCCTTTTGTGGTTAATTGCCGTTAAACTTATTTGTAAACGCATTTAAGGAATAGAATTAAGCAAATGAAAATAGAAGACAAAGAAAATAAAATGGCACGGAAAAGGAAGAAAACAGCGGAAGTCTTTCACCAATTAAACAAGTCAAGTGTAATTAAAGCGCACAAATGAAATGGAAGAATAAAGCATACAAAAATTAAAAATTAGCGACTAAATTGTGGGAGTGGAAGAAAAGAAAATACGCAATGAAGCAGTAAAGAAGAAAATGGATTTTAAAGTTAAATACTTGTTTTACGCGAGAGGACAGTATGCAGAAAAGTTTTTGTAAGAAGGGGCGGGGGTGTGCACCATTAAATGGCAAGCACTTCATTAGCTTAATTTGTACTTTAGAAGCGCAAAGAAAATTAGAAGCGCGAAGAGAATTGAGAGAAACTCTTGCAAGAATATTTCGCATCGATCGCATAGATGGTGGGTGGGTGACTAAATACTAAGCATACATATGTATATGTATGTGTATTTTATATGAGTATTATATTATTAACTCACAAATTAGCACTCTAATTACTGATTGGATTTTTAATAAATAAAATGTTATAATATATATATATAAATCCTTGTCGAGTTGTATACCAATCAATAGGTTATCATTTTTATTTAGATACATATATGTTGATAATATAGTATACCCTGCTTGATTTTAATGTTCACCGATTGCAGATATAACGCTTGGTTGTCTAAAGTTTTCTAATTGGTTAATACTCCGGGACATTCGAGAATACTACCTACTTTTGGTTCCGTTTTAGGTTGCAAAAGTTTTGTTACCGATTACCCATAACATAAAGTTATATATGAAAATGAAAATAACGAAACAAACTGATTTAGCGATGTCTATCTGTCTTTCTTCGTCCACAAATGGTTTTATTAAAACAGATTTGAAGCGGATGTAGGGCGCTATTGCATATGTAACACCACAATTTTGAAAAGTAGGCGTAACTTGACTCTAGAAAATTTGCTGTAAAACGAATAAATTCGGTATACTCTTTAGGTGCCATTACTCAATATAATAATTTCCGTTACTCGCTTAGAATAATGTCATTCAGTACCATAACTATCATTATATATCCACCATCAGCTATCTATTACATGTTACTAATTTTTGCTACACAAATTTACTCCAGAGAAGATCTTTTTCAGCTATAAAGTAAGATATCTTAATGAAACTAAGTAGGTACCAGGCCGGTAATGTAAATAATTATGCTACTGATAATTAGCGCAGTTCGCAATCCTGGCAGAAAAGTGTTATAAAAAGTATTGCCAACTAAAAACATTTCTCTCCACTTTTATCTCTCTCTTACAAGTACTTCTTTGTTATACTATTCTACAGAGAGCTCGAGATATTACGCACATTCTTTGTTTTTACAAATTACGAAAGTATCTACTGTTTGAATGCGCCCGAATTTATTTCATTTATTTACTTTATCTTGATGACACTAACTTTAGTTGACGGTTTTCTTTAGTGACATGAATTTAATACCTTTGTAGTTATTCAGCTCAAAGACAGCTACTTAGATCCATTTGATTCCTTAAAAGTTCACACTTCATAGCAGACGCTAAAAGTACTTATTTCCCACTATAATTCCGCAAATAAACGTTAAAACAATTAAATTAAATTACAAAGCTTATTTTATATAGCCTAATGGTTGCAACATTTTCATTTAGTTGCGTCATTAAATGAATCAACTGCAAATAAGCAAAATATTACCAAGAGTAGTTGCAGAGTTACAGCCCTCAAGTGTCGTTGTCCATCCAAATAAAAAAAAAAAAAAAAAAAAAAAAAATATGTATGTACATCTTATTGCACATCTTTCGCTCTATTTACAAGTCAAAGTACAGTAAGTCGGTGAAAGAAAAGATATTGTACCCAGTAGTGATATCAGTTAGTTTTAAATTACTCTAACTCCCAACTAATCAGTCGAGTGCGTTTCGACCACACAAGCTACTAGACAAAAATATATCCAAATATATATATTTAACAAGTTAATTTATTCACTATAATCGCCTAAAATAAAAATCGATAAAAGGTAAAATAAAACGTAAAATTATACTAAACTATACTAATTCGTTGACTTGACAAAAAACTCTTTAATAAAAAGTTTCGATATTGGTACAAGTCGAATGTTTTCAGGATTGTTGATAAATTCCAGTAGCGAACTATTTCAACTTCCGTCGAATTTTAAATTCATAGTTGTGAACTATGTAGTATTTTAATCGCTACTCTTATGTTTCACTACAGGGTTTGTACAACGCACTGTCCATCTTTTTGCTGGGAGCAATTGAGTAGCAACAGGTTTTAGCTTTTATACAGCAATGTTTTCAAATATAGTACATACCATTCATACGTATACTATAGCTTAGTAAATTGAGTGAAAAGTAGTAATACGTCAAACATTCACCTGACAGTTACTTGAGGCGTTAGTAAGCAGTTGCTATCGTTTATGTATATACAATATATAGGTAGACTTGTCATCTATACAGAACTATTTTCAGGTGTTAGTTTATTTAGCCAAATAAAAGCATTTCGGCATTTTTTTGACGCTGGGTAAAAAACCAACGATTTATATTTTTAGTATCTTTTCTTTATTGGTTATTTATTAATATTTCAAGAGTTTAGAAAAAAATTTAAGAAAAGAAAAATTAATTGCACAGACTTACAGGTTGCTGTAGTAAAGGAGGGGAAAAGGAAGTGAAGTGGATACAGGTACATTTTGTATACTATATGTAAATATAAATTTGAACACGTAACCGGGTAACAGTTTGCATCTAACGGAAATTTTCTAGTCAAGTTGTTTGATAAAAGCAACCTTTAAGTCAAATTCGGTTCCGAGAAATGAGCACCTCCTTGGTTAGAAAAGAACGAGTGTAAAATTTCAAATTGCGTTAGAGATTTTTTGAACGTGTCGAAAAAATTTGCTAAAGAATGTGTTCAAAGTTTAGTTAAGACTACACCGGTCTAATTGCCATGACACTAAACAGGCTTTTAAAGCAATTCCTTTTAATAGATCAAATTTGCCATTTTTAATACCGGAAGTTTTTTCTTCTTTTGGAGATATAATGGCAACTTAATGAAAAAAATAATGATGCCGATAAATATTACCACAATTGCAATTCTCGTCCGTAACTCTTATATACCTATATATTTCCCGTTATGTCCTTCGTTTCCTTTGCACCTAAAAAGCATGAAGTCGATTGCATTACGATTTTTGTAAGAAATAAAAGATCTTTTAGATCTTGATATTTTCAGTAATAATAAACCCACCATAAGAATTATTAATGAAAAAAAAACGAGCGATATCCTTTACACGATTTTTTCGTTTACACATCCATCATTTACATTTAATATACTGACAGGTAGGGGCAAAGGAACTTTCAGATAATTAATTATTCATTCTTTGTGGATGGAGACTAATCGATTTTGATAGTTATCATATTGTTTTTATTTTTTTCTACTTTTCGATTTATATGTTGTTCTTTTAATTGAAGCTCTCCGATATTTTAATAGCTATTCAGGGCGGACATAGTCTTAGAAATAAATCCTATTTTGACAGCCTAAACACACTTCATATTTTTTTTTCGCAAATAGGCTTTACTATTAAAAACAAATCAGCCATCTTTTTTCATAAGTTTAATTAATGGTCCTCATAAATGTAGAAAG